GATGCTGGCTTCATAAAAAGAATTTGGGAGTTTTCCATCCTTCTGGATTTTTTGAAACAGTCTGTGGAGAATAGGGGCTAGCTCTTCCTTAAATGCTTTGTAGAATTCTCCTGTGAAACCATCTGGTCCGGGGCTTTTGTGTGGTGGGAGTTTTTTGATTACTGCTTCAATTTCTTTTGCTGTTATTGGTGTATTTAGATTTTCTGCTTCTTTTTCACTGAGTTTTGGAAGATTGTATTTTTCTAGAAATGTGTCCATTTCCCCTAGGTTTTCAAATTTCTTGGCATACAGTTCTTCATAGTAATTTCTTACAATCTCTTCTATTTCTGTGGTATCAGTTGTAATCTCTCCTTTTTCATTTCTGATTGTGTTTATTTGTGTCCTCTCTCTTCTTTTCTTGATGAGCCTACTTAAAGGCTTGTCTATTTTGTTTATCTTCTCAAAGAACCAACTCCTGGATTCATTGATCCTTAAAATTGTGCTTTTAGTTTCTATGTCATTTAATTCTGCTCTAATCTTGGTTATTTCCTTCCTTCTGCTTGCTCTGGGCTGTCTTTGTTGTTGTTCCTCGAGTTCTTGCAGGCGTAGGGTTAGGTTGTTTGTTTGAAATGTTTCTATTTTCTTTAGGTAGGCCTGTATTGCTATAAACTTCCCTCTCAGGACTGCCTTCGCTGTGTCCCATAAGTTTTGGGTTGTTGTGAGATCATTTTCATTTGTTTCCAGAAATGTTTTGATTTCTTCCCTAATTTCATTCTTGACCCATTCGTTGTTTAATAGCATACCATTCAGTCTCCATGTTTTTGGGTGCTTTGGGCTTTTTTCTTTGGGGTCGGTTTCTAATTTCAGTCCCTTGTGGTCAGAGAAGATGCTTGGTATGATTTCAATTTTCTTGAATTTTTTGAGGCTCGTTTTGTGTCCTATCATGTGGTCTATCTTTGAAAATATTCCATGTGCATTTGAAAAGAATGTGTATTTAGCTTCTTTGGGATGAAAGGCTCTGTATATATCAGTTAAGTCCATTTCATCTAGGGTGTTGTTTAATGCCACAATATCTTTGTTGATAATTTGTTTGGAAGATCTGTCCATTTTTGATAGTGGGGTGTTCAAATCCCCTACTATAATTGTGTTGCTGTCAATATCTTTCTTGAAGTCCTCTAAGATTTTCTTGATATATTTGGGTGCCCCTATGTTTGGTGCATATATGTTTACAATGTTAATGTCTTCTCGGTGGATTCTTCCCTTGAGTATAATGAAGTGACCTTTTGGGTGTCTCTTTATAGCCTTTTTTTTGAAGTCTATTTTGTCTGATATGAGAATTGCTACCCCAGCTTTTTTTTCTTGTCCATTTGCTTGGAAAACTTGTTTCCAGCCTTTCACTTTTAGTCTGTGATGGTCTTTTGTCCTGAGGTGAGTCTCTTGTAGGCAGCATATGTGTGGGTCATGCTTTCTTATCCATTGAGCTATTCTGTGTCTTTTGATTGGAGCATTTAATCCATTGACGTTTAAGGTTATTATTGATAGGTACTTATTCATTGCCATTTTTGTACCTGTGTTCCTCTCTGTCTCCCTCTTATCCTTCCTTCCCTTAAAGCAGTTCTTTTAGTATTTCTTGTAGAGCTGGTTTGGTGGAGGCATATTCTTTTAGACTTCTTTTGTCTTGGAAGCTCTTTATTTGGCCATCTATCTTGATTGAGAGCCTTGCTGGATAAAGTAGCCTTGGTTGTAGGTCTTTGGTTCTCATTACTTGAAATATTTCTTGCCATTCTCTTCTTGCTTGAAGTGTTTCCATCGAGAAGTCAGTAGCTAACCTTATTGGGGCTCCCTTGTATGTTATTTCTTTTTTCTCCCTTGCTGCCTTTAAGATTCTCTCTTTGTCTTGGAATTTTGCCATTTTGATGATAATGTGTCTTGAAGTGGGCCTCCTTGGGTTCCTCTTGGTTGGGACTCTCTGTGATTCCTGGATTTGTGAGACTTTTTCTCTTATCAAATTAGGGAAATTTTCTCATTACTCGTTCAAATACGTTTTCTATCCCTTGTTCTTCTTCTTCTCCTTCTGGTATTTCTATTATTCGGATATTATTACGTTTCATATTGTCTTGCATTTCTCTTAATCCCTCTTCATTCTTTCTGAGCCTCTTTTCATTTTCTTGCTCTTTCTATGAGATGCTTTCTACCTTGTCCTCCAACTCACTAATCCTATCCTCCGCTTCATCTATCCTACTTTGGAAACTTTCTACTGTGTACTTCAATTCAGAAATTGTATTCTTCATTTCCTCTTGTCTCTTGCTGATAGCTTCCATTTCCTTTTTGATGTTGCTGTAGTTTGCAGAGAGATCATTATAGTTCCCCTGTAGTTTCTGGTAGTTCACTGTGAGCTCTTTGAACTTCGTAATAACCAGTGCTTTGAATTCACTGTCTGATAGTTGATCAGCGTCTATTTCATCTAACATTCTTTCTGAAGTTTCTGCTTTTTCTTTCATTTGGGGATTGTTTCTTTGTCTTCCCATTGTTTGAGACTCTTCTTGTTAGTCTCTGCTTCCAAAATTGATCTGTTCTGAAACACTGGTTTTATGGTGTAAACTTCTGTGGTATGATCCTTGTGAAGTTCAGTGGTGCAGACTCCTTGAAGTTTCTTGATGTTCTTCGTCTCCACCTACACTCATGCTGGTCCTCGTGCTGGTCCCTGCATTGGGCGCCTACCACTGCTGAATGTCCCGGCTCTAGTAGCCGCCTCCTCAAGCACCCAGGCCCGTTACTACGGCAGTGGCACAGAGGCTGGGAATGTCCCGGCTCCCGTATCTGGCTCTCTCTGCCGCCCAGGGCCGTCAAGGGGCTTGGAGTGTCCCGGTTTCCGTACCTGACTCCCCGGCGTCTAGTCCTGTCTCTATGGCAGTGGCACAGAGGCTTAGAAAGTCCCAACTCCTGTACCTGATTCCCCAGTGTCCACTCCCGTCGCTTTGGCAGCAGCACAGGGGGTGAGACTGTCCCAGTTCCCGTAGAGGGCTCCTCTGCCACCGAGGGCTGTCTCAGGAGTTCGGAGTGTCCCGGCTTCCGTACCTGACTCCCCGGCGTCCAGTCTCATTGTTATGGCAGAGGCACAGGATCTGAGAACTTCCCGGCTCCCGTACCTGGCTCCTCTGCTGCATCACAGGGGTTTGGAGAGTCCCGGCTTCTGTACCTGACTCCCTGGTGTCCAGTCCTGTGGCTATGGCAGCGGCACAGGATTTGAGAGCTTCCTGGCTCCCGTAGCTGGCTCCTCTGCTGCGTCACAGGGGTTTGGAGAGTCCTGGCTTCTGTACCTGACTCCCTGGTGTCCAGTCCTGTCGCTATGGCAGTGGCACAGGATCTGCAAACCTCCCGGCTCCCGTAGCTGGCTCCTCAGCGTCCAGGCCTGTCTCTATGGCGGCGTCACAGGGGCCTTAGGTGTCCCAGCTCCTGCAACTGACCCTTCCGTTGCCCAGGCTGGTAGCTATGGCATGGGTACAAGGGTGTCCCCGCTCCGGTTCCTGACTCCTCTGTGTCCCAGGACCGTCACAGGGGCTTGGAGTGTCCAGCTCCTGTACCTGACTCCCCAGCTCCCAGGCCTGTTGCTCTGGTGGCAGCACAGGGGCCACGTGAGACCCAACTCCAGTAGCTGACTCTGCCGCCGTCTGGTGTTTCAGTGTCGGTCACAATCTCTGGTCTTTTAATTTCATAAATGCTGGGTAACCGATGGTTTATTGTGCTGTTTCTCTATAGATCTGCCAGGATTTTCACTCATGAGTACAGGAGCTAGTATCAGCTCCATCTTACTCCGTCGCCATCTTCCCAGCATCAAGAAATAAATTTTTTATAAAGCTCAGGAAATAAACTCAAGAAAATATCAGTAAAGATGAAATAAAGATAAGAGCAATTGATAAAATGAAAAGTCGATTATTTAAATTCTAGTAAAATTAAATGAATCTACTCTCCATTATCTGAATTAATTAATAGAGTGTGTAGGGAGAAACACAAGATTAATCAAAACAGAAGAGAACATATTTATAGAATAAAATAACACTTTTCCAACAGATATTTCTTCCTGATTACATGTTGTTTAACTCTAAGTGTTGTTTTATTATTTTAACTTAAACCTTTTAGGTCTCAAGGGGAAGTAATTTAGTCTAATATTTATTCCAGATATTCATTATAAAATGTATGCACTCATAATGTATAGCTTTAGCTTTAGTTCTTGAGATTTGTATACAAAATCTGTACTAAATTTCCCTTTGCTGAAGTAATTGGCTTGATAACATCATTTAACAGTCATGACTGCTACTGAAGGCCAGAGAAGAAGCTTACAGTCCCATCAGTTCTGGGTGATCTACTGAGAGTGAAGATGGTTAGTGAAATGCATGAGTTTTTCTTATTACATAGGAGGATGGAATAGATGAAGCCAGAGCCTAGGACTTCCTGACTGACTATAATGTGAAGCTATAAATTAATTTTCCCTTCAATGAAAGAATAGATAGATTAGATATATAGATACAGATGAAATAGATTATAAATAGATAGGAATACAGATACAGAAATATATATATCTTAACTGCATTCAAAATAGAGTAGACTTTTTGAAAAATCCTCATCCAGGGATATGTTTATTGGTGTGAGAGAGAAAGGGAGAGAGGCAGCAATGTGAGAGAGAAAATTGATGGGTTACCTCCCATATGTGCCCTGACCAGGGATCAAACCCACAACCTAGGTAAGTGCCCTGTCTGGGGATGGAACCTGCAGACTTTTCGTGTATGGGGAGATACTCCAACCAACTGAGCCACACAGGGCCAGCATGGACTTTTTAAATGGGTAGAAATTGATTTAAAAAGCTCATTTCTAAAGTTACTACTAAGGGAAGCAATCCTTTTACCATTATTAAAGTGTTCATTTCCTTCTTTGATCATATCTTTAAGGCATATTGGAGAAAAGATGAGGTGGAGTAGAAGTTCCTGCATTGACTTTGATTTCACTGTGATTTTGATCTTCAGGTCAGTGCAAACCCCCAGCTTATTTTGAAACAGCCAGACCTACAAGGCCAATTAATGCAGATGAGTTTCCCATTGGAACATCTTTGCAGTATGAATGCCGCCCTGGTTTCCAGAAGAGAAGTTTCTTTATCACCTGCCTAGAAAACTCGGCCTGGTCAAAACCTCATCGAACCTGTTCACGTAAGCAACTCTGGACTGAGAACTCCTCTGTATCAGTTAAACATCCATAAGATCTATGCAGTTGTTCAACTTTTGGAACGAAGGCACCTATGACTTGATTAATTCTCCTAGCAGTAGCAGATGTGAGCGTTATTCCTGTAGGTCAGAGCTTCCTACTACTTTGAGTGCCTGGTACCTTTATTACAAGTTCATTGCTTGAGAAGCTATCATTATAAGGCACAATTGAGAAAAAATCTCTATTTAATAGGATCTGCCATTTCACAGCTGAAATTAATGGGAAGGCAAAAAAAGTGCAGACAGGGACAAAAGCCCTGATGCTGAGACCTTTACATTGGTTGAGTCACAGAGTAAACAAATAAAGTTTACATTTTTCTGAGAGGCACTGGTGGGGAGGAGACAGAACTGGAAGGAGGTGCTTTTTGAAAGTGGCAGTCTTGGGAAATTCCCCAATGTGGTATAATCTCTAGAACTACAAATGTTCTTGAGTAAGCTACAGCCAGATTGGGTCTTTATGTACAAAGAGAAGTTCAGAGTCTTCTACACCCAGTCCCCAAATTCTTCTTCTTTCCCATAGGTAAATCATGTGGATCTCCTCCAGAACCCATAAATGGCAAAATGGAAGTAACTGGAGGCACCCAGTTTGGATCAATTATTAATTACTCTTGTAATGAAGGGTGAGTTGGCAGTAGCATTTTGGGGAGTGATAGTTTAAAAATTATAAAACCAATCTCTAAAGAATAATATTAGATAGGAGAATTAAACAACTTGGCTATTAAAAACATACCAGTAAGATTTGTAAGTGGAGGTGGTGGCTTCAATCTAAGCATTTAACTGCACTTAAAATGATTAAACAAATCTTTCAAAATAAGAAAAATCTGTATCCATGCTACAAAATTGGGGGGATGCATGTTGTATATCAAATGAATGTACCTAAAATCAAATGAAGCATTCATTATATGGGGAGGACCAGCTCTCCAAAGAAGTAAATGAAGCAAACACTAGTTGACCCACGAATATATTATTACCTCAAAGCATCAGGTGCTGGGGTCCAACCTCAGCAAGTCTCAGGTCCCTGAAGGATGGATGGCCCAGGCAATGAATGAAGAGTCAGATTGGATGCCGGAGAACAGCCAGCTTCTGTGGGTCTAACCGAACTCACACAGTTTGATTTAAGCTTTATTTTTATAGAGATTGTTGCATAACATTAAAGGAACAGGTATATGGATGGCATGATCAGTTAACCAGAAAAAAATAATACAGAGGTAACTAGGAAAAGTACAGGAAATTCCACAGATTCAGTTATGTTAAACAAAGGTTGTTTAGACCAGGAGAGCCATCAATCAGACAATTAGAAATAGGTGTATGTACAGAGTTTTAAATGTCTTACTGATGAATAGATATTTATTAAAGTTCTTAGAATTTGGCAGGGGTCAAAAGGATAGGCTAGACTGAACAGTGGTTATAGGAAATTTATTATGAGGCCTTTGTGGTATCTAACTTAGCTATCTATCCTCTTGTCTAGAATCTTACTTTATGTACTTTGGACTCTAACTCCTTAGCAATTGTTTCTATGTGCTTGGTTTGTAATAGTTAACCAGATTCTCCTCCTTCTTTACCTGTCTAATTCCATTAATATAATTCCTGTCCAAGGTAGAGGAGGGGCTGTTACTCCATCAACTTTTAGACATTCAGGGGCTACCCCATCCTAGGGAACTTTTGTTCTACAGCCAAGAAATCATTTTGTACAACTTCGTTGGAATTCTGCAGATCATTGGACCTGAAATACAGGTGTCCAAAATTCCCACCACTTATTAATCGCAAAGACAGACATGCAAGGAAAGATAGACAGAGAATCCAGCCACAGTTGCCTCTGCTGTGCAGATGCATCTCATCGGTCCTGACCATGTCAAAGGACAGCTGTTGGTTGGCTCCTGACATCTCTCCCTTTTTTATTTTGTAAGTGCAAGGTTTCCGCTTCTAATTATACTCCTCTGATTCCTCCTGCAAGGAGTCAGAAGGTGACTGAAAAAAGATTCCAATTAGCACAATTCCAATGATTAAGTGCCAAATTAATTATAAAGGAAAACAGACTCATATTCTGCTCTGGCCTTTATCATTTAACTAAGAGCATTCTACTAGTAAAGCAGGTTTCACAGGATATTACATATTTTTTCTCAGGCCTTATCACCCAGGGAGCCTGCCCTTTCTAGCACAGGGCTGCACTGCCCTCCATCATTGTTGTTAGGCTTAAGTCAGGCAGAGGAGGTAGAAAGCCAAGGAATACTCAGAGACTTCTCTCAGACAATCTGAGGACTCAGGCTTCATCAAAGCTGAGGGGCGAGGGTCCATCACCCCCTTTCTCCATAGCCCCCCAAGTCCTTCCCTGGGCCCACCGCATGATCATGCCTGTCATAGGTTATCCCCCCTTGAGCGATCTTACCCGTCATTGGCTAACTGATCAAGCATTGGAGGCCAGTTATGGAAAAAGGAGCAGAAGCAGCACTCCTGCCTGGGAGATAAACTTTGTTTCCTTAATGGCTTAAGGTCCGAAGGTCGCTCATTCAGCCAAGCCACTGGGGGTTTACAACTCCTGAAACCAGGCAGGGCAGTTTCCAATAATCAGGAGCTGGAGATGGTGGATTCAAGGGGAAGTGGGAAAGAGTAGTTTGTTTAGGAGGATGGAATAGATGTGGGGAATGGGCAAATCTAATTTTAGAGCACCTTTCCAAAAGTGCTCACAGTGTGAGGATTCACTGGGGACATATTCTTGGCTTATCCTTAGGAAAGATAGCCAATTTAGGAAAGCAGTAGGGAGGCTGCTTTACCTTATATCTTACCTTCTGCTTTGTTTTTTTCTTACTAACAATACATACAAAATAACATAGGGAAAAATTAAAATAGTAACAATATAATAAACTTCAGTGTATAAACTATTCACCTTAAGAAACATTACTAGCACCTTTGTAATCTCCTGTGTGCCCTTCCCAATGATCATTTCTCCACCTCTAGCACCTCTCCAGAAGTAGTCACCATTCTGAATTTTGTGTTTGTCATCCCCTGGTGTTTCTTTTTTATTTTCTTTCAGGCATAATTACAATCAGTGTACTTTTAGTTTTATATAAATAGAATGATGTTATATGTACTTCTCTGCAACTTGCTTTTTTATTTAACAGTTTCCTTCTGATGCTCACCCATGTTGTTGTGGCCAATTCCTTTTCACTTTGGATGGAATTCTCTTGTATGGGTATACCACAACTTCTTTACTTGTCCTTGGTTGCTTGTTAGAGATTGTATTCTTTTGACTTTGTTTTATTTTGGCTATTGTAAGCATTCCAGATATAAACATACTTACCTGTGTCTCCTAGCACACATATGTAAAAGTTTCTCGAAAAACAATGGTTTTCAAGCTTATTCCCATGATCCACAGCTACAAAATTTTTTTCTCCAGTACATTGTACAACAGGCTCTAGCCAGGAACGTTGAGGAAGAAAAAGGAAAAAAATGATATCAAGATAGGAAGGAATAATTAAAATAATCTCTGTTAACAAATGGCATGCTTTGTTATTCAAAAAAAATCAAGAAGGAAGCCTCCCAGACTCTTTTTATGAGTCTAGTGTGATTTTAAACCTAAACCCAGGTAAAGACACAAGAAAGAAAGAAAATTATAGGCCACTATCTCCGATAAACACAGATGCTAAAATCTTCAACAAAATATTGGCAATCTAGATCCAGCAATACATTAAACAGTTCATATACCATGATTAAGTGGGATTTATCAAGGCATGCAAGGATGGTATAACATTAACAAATCAATAAGTGTAATATATCATATAAACAAAATGAAAGGTAAAAATCACATGGTCATATCAATAGATGCTGAAAAAGCATTTGATAAAATCCAGCACCCATTTAATGATAAAAACACCCAGCAAAGTGGGAATAGAGGGAGCATACCTCAGAATAATAAAGGCCATATATAAAAAACCTACAGCCAACATCATATTCAATGGGTAAAAACTAAAAGTGCTTCCCTTAAGATCAGGAACTAGACAAGGGTACCCACTTTCACCACTATTACTCAAAGTAGTATTGGAAGTTCTACCCATAGTGATTAGACAAGAAAAAGAAATAAAAGGCATCCAAATTGGAAAGCAGAAAGTAAAACTGTCATTATGTGCAGATGACATGATAGTGTACATAGACAGCCCTATAGTCTCCACCAAAAAAATTACTTGACCCAATAAGTGAATTCAGCAAAGTAACAGGATACAAAGTCAATATTCAGAAATTGAGGGCATTCTTGTACACCAACAATGAATTATCAGAAAGAAAAACTAAGAAAAAAATCACATTTACTATAGCAACAAGTAACACAAAATACTTAGGAATAAATTTTACCAAGGATGTAAAAAAAGACCTATACTTAGAAAATGATGGAACATGAAGAAAGGTATTGAGGAAGATACAAATAAATGGAAGTATATACCATGTTCATGGACTGGAAAAGTTAACATTATTGAAATGTTCAGACTAACAAGGCAATCTATAGATTCAATGCAATTCTTATTAAAATACCAATAGCATATTTCACAGATCAAGAATAAGTATTAGAAAAATTTACATAGAAACACAAAAAAACCTGAATAGCCTCAGCAATACAGAGAAAGAAAAACAAAGTTTCAGGGATCACAATACCTCATATTAAACTATACTAGAAGGCCACTGTAATCAAGACAGTCTGGTACTGGCATAAGAACAGACACATAGATCACTAGAACAGAATAGAGAGCCCAGAAACAAATCCATGTCTCTATGGTTAGTTAATATTTGACAAAAGGGGCATGACCATAAATGGAGTAAAAACAGTCTCTTCAATAAGTTGTGTTGGGAAAACTGGGCTGGTACATGCAAAAAGATGAAACTAGACCTCCAACTTGCACCATACACCAGAATAAGTTCAAAATGGATAAAGGACTTAAATATGACTCATGATATCATAAAAGACCTAGTGGAAAACAGGCAGCAAAATTTCAGACATCCCTTTGCCAATATATCTCATAGGGCAAAGGAAATAAAAGAAAAAACAAACAAATGGTAGTACGTCAAATTTAAATGGTTCTGCATAGCCCTGGCTGATGTGGCTCAGTGGACTGAGTGCCTGCTTGAGAACAAAAGGTAGCCAGTCTGATTTTCAGTCAGGGCTCATGCCTGGGTTGCGGGGCAGGACCCCAGTAGGGAGCACATGAGAGGTAACCACACATTGAAGTGTCTCTCCCTCTCTTTCTCCTTCCCTTCCCCAGTCTCTAAAAATAAAATAAAATCTTTTTATTTTTATTTATTTATTTTTTATTGTTCAAGTATAGTTGTCTCAATTTTCCCCCCACCATTCCCCCTGGCCCCACCCTGGATCTTACCCCACTTTGCCTGTGTCCATGTGTCCTTTATGCATGTTCCTTGACAATCCTTCCCCTTTAGCCCCCACTCTACCTCTCCCCCATCCCTCTGGTTACTGCCAGTTTGTTCTTTATTTCAATGTCTCTGGTTGTATTTTGCTTGCTTGTTTGTTTTGTTGATCAACTGACTTTTAAATATTGTTTTACTATGCAAAAAAACTTACTAAATTGTCTTTTGAGTTTATGATATTTTAACTATAGATTTTTTGCATTTTTATAGG